CCGACATTATCCTGGGGGGATTTATCTTTGGTTTGCAGGACCTCACGACACTGGGGCCAGAATTCAGCCCGCAGAGGAGCAGGCAATGGGAGAGGGAGACACCAGGAGCGTTGCTGAGAGGGATTCACCCAACCCTGGAGCAGGCAGCTGGAGCAGGGCTGCTCTGCCTGGGCACTGCCAGCGGCTCCGTCACTGCCCATGGAGAGTTAGGAGCTCGAGGACAAGGACTATACCCTGCTGTCACCGCTGGGCACTTCCCAGCGTAGCAGAGCTGTGGCAAGGGGACAGCGTGGAACACACGAGCTGCACTCACAGCAACACAGGTGAAGAGCAGAAACGAGCAGTGACACAAATTAATCTTCAGTTGCCATTCTCCTGCAGGGCATCACTACAAACAACAGTTAAAAAGCCAAAAAACCTGTTTCATCACTGATGCGAAAGCAACAGCCATGCCCTCCAGCAGCCTGGCCAGACCCTGCCCAGGGCACGGATTTAGTTCCTGCTGGCCCAGAAGACCAGTGACCTGCTCTGCCAACAGCCTGCCAGACTTGGGGACATCCCTAAACATGCCCCCATGCTGCTTGGATGAAATGCCAGGCATTGCCTCCTCCGGGGAGTGGGGGAGCCACGGAGGTCATCCAGCCTTCGTTGGAGGCAGCTGTCCTGCCTGCGTCCCCTCCAAAGGACAGACTGTGCTGGGGGAGGAATCAGGAGCTGGCCAAATGCAGAGATGGGGTTGGAAACGCTGCCGAGTGCCGTGCCAGGGCAGAGGCGAGCCATGCCCATGATCTAGCCAGGGGGGTCACAAGAAGGTTTGCCTTTTTAATAAAAATGTAAGGAAAGAGAAAAAAGAAAGACATAAAAGAACAAATCCCAGGAGTCAGACAGCCCAAGCTGCCACCCCGTGGCTGGTCCCAGGTTTTCCTGTGCTGGAGGAAAGGCCTGGCCTCAGCCGTGTCCAGGTGGTCCCCGGGAGCCTGGCAGGAGGCAGGACGCCCCTCCAGCCCCTCTGCGGTGGTTGCTGTTGCTCACCGAGCCCCAGGTCCTTGCCACTGGGCAGCTGTCAGGCCAGGCTCCGGGGGCAGAACTGGTGAAGGGGAGCGGTATGGACGTGGCAGCTTTGCAGCCTCTGAAGCTGCGTGCACGAACGGGGCTGCTGCTGGGCCACCTTGCGCAGCCCCTCGGGCTCTCCCTTGAGCCCCATCCAGCCCTTCCCACCTTCCCCTGCCTGTGCCCAGGGCTCCCCGTGTAATTCGTCTCCCCTACTTCCACATACCTGCCAACGCGCATCCCTTACCGGGGGCCTGTTTGTACACCCATGACATCCTCTGGCGGCTCTCCTGCCTCCTCCTTGTTCTTTAAAGCCCAAATTTAATTTGCTTTTCTCTCTGGGCCGTGGATCAGGCAATGGAGATGGAGTAAAACAAGCCAGGGTGTTTTTTTTTTAGCATGTGAATTTTAGATCAGTTCCCTGATCCAGATGCCTCACCACCGTGCAAGTGGTTCCACCCCTGCAAAGTGGCCTGGGGCAGGAGCAGGGAGCTGGGGACAGTGGGACTCCTCACGTGCCTAGGACACAGCCTGGAAGGGGTCAGCCCTGGGGTCCCGCAGCTGTCGCCTCCCCCTGCGCACAGTGACCGTGTCCATCACAGAGCGGAGGGCGCGGAGCAGGAGGGGGGCTGCCATGCCCCAAGCACCTGGGGAGCGCCCTGGGAGCGATGCTGGAGCCGGGGCACATGAGACCTGGCCCCTCAGCGAAGGGCCCTGTCACGGTGGGGGTGTCAGAGGCAAAGGTCCTGCCGGAGGCACAGCAATGACACCCCCACTGTGTGTCCCCTTCCTGCTAATCCCACATGGGTCCGCTGACTTGGACCAGCCTTTGGCTTGCGGCAAATGCCCAAGGGGTTGGACATGTGCTCAGGGGCCTGATAGCTGGAGCAGGGCAAGATACTTTTGAAGTCCAAAAGTATCTCGCATAATCTGTATTTGAATTACATGGCCTCGGCTGGAAGCAATCAGAGGTCTGGGACAAGGACTCATCTGCCTGCTCCCCTCTGTGGTAACCACACACGG